CAACCAACTGAATAATCGCCTTCCAAGCATGTAGGAGAAACTACGGGGGCCATGAAACTTAAGCCCTATCTGGAGCCAGTGTGTCAGTTCTGGGCTACTGTAGAAACTGTCTTTTCACATGGTGGCCTCCACAGAAGAGGAACCGCTCCCTCTGTAGATAAAAACAGCTCATTCTAAATAAAACCTTTTCCTAACACAGATTTGGATGTCCCCATCAACATATACGTTTGAGTATACACCGTAATATATATGTGCTCCTGTTACTGTGCAAAAGTGTGGGGTTTATAGAGGTATGAGGTATAAAAAGATGAATGCATATGTTGAGTTTGGAGAGTTTCTCATCTGAATCGAAGGTCTAAGTATAGAGTATGATGTACAGATTGTAAAGCTCTTTGAGGCCAATTTGTGATTTGTGATATTGGACTATATAAAAAAAATAACTTGACTTGCTAGACTTGCTAGAAATGCTATCATTTGTTGCCGTGTTAGTAGGACAAAGTAGCTCAGTGTTAGTGTGCACAGACTAGTTGAAATAATAATGTTTGGTACATACAGGTTTCTAATTTACTCTCCCCACCCTCTACTGTTATTCTCAAATGTAAACAACCTCAGTCTTTTAAATAAAACAAATTAGAAAATGAGTTTATATACATGTGACCATACTTAGAGAGAAACGAGAATAAACTTCACACTGATGAATAGATTTTAGTTGAGATCCACTTGCTGTTTTCCTGTTGTCTTTATTAGCAGAAATAAGTGACAACAGAGATACGAGCCTTTGCATCAACTATAACCTGCTCACAACTTAACCTTAGATGATGTTTACCGTTCTTTTGACACGTATTGTACAAAGAACGTAGACTGATGTCTCGTTAATGGGCTCATCTTCCATTCTGTTAATGAAAACATAGCCAAACAAACACAATGTTGCTCTGATTTGTACTGAGAGGCAATTCATTTGACTCAAGGTCACTTCTCCACTGTGATGCTCGTTAATAAGTGTGCATTTAGAGCGTTAAAGATGCAATTGTGTCTCTGTTCTAAAGCTTTTCCAATAATTTGTTGCATTGAAAGGGAAACAGTTGCTACTTTACAACTCAGCAAATGAGCAACCGTGTCAAGTTCAAATGGAAAAAAAGTAGAGCGTTCTTTATGTTTTCTGTAATTACTTAAATTCCTTTCTGTGGGTTTCATATAAAGAAAAACTAAACTAAAGTTGAATGTCTTGGAAAATAGCCCTGAACCCAGTCAATGTGCAATGGAATTCAAGGAGCGCTTCTATGGGTAACAGCAGAACAATATATTGTCTTTTATATCAATATATGATTCCATTCATTGTTGGAAGCTGGATAAATGGCAATGAATATAAAAAGTCCTCAGTAAAGCTCTAAATAAATGCACATACTGCAAAATAGAAAAAAGCACAAAATACCGCTCAGTATTCAGACACACGCACAAAGATAACCTGCCTCCATCGTGCACATAATGACCCTTCATTCAGGCCCTAAAAGGTCAACTCACCCTCACTGTGATTTTAATTATGGCTCCATTGTAGGAACCTGAAGAAGACACAGTTCCCTCTTTTTCTTCGTTCACAATAAGGCCTCCTGCTTCCTGTTTGAGGAAGTGCCTTACATGAGATGCCCCCAGTCTCTTAACCAACAATCAGAAAGGGTTTCTACACCATTAAAAAGCCCAAAGATGTGGAGGGTCCTGCATACAAGCCCATCAGAGAAAGGGAGAGTTCCTATGTGCTCCTCAAACACAAAGCAGAGGTCAACAGGAAGCTCTGTGTTTGTCCTGTGCATCTGCTTTTGGCTTTTGGTAGCCAAGTGTTTCAAAAACACAAAGGTCAGAGATTAAATTTGTTGCCTGACTTTTTCTTTAGTGGCTCACCAGCTGACAAACTAAACATCTCAAATTCATCAGGACCTTGCAAAGAGACTGGAAACACAGAGATAAGAGCTTATATCCATCTCTTCACAAGGGGTCATATCTTAAGAAGAACACCCATGGGGTTTACCCATCTATGATTCATTTTCTGATTTAATTATACAGTCTGTCAGTGATTTTCTGTGTGATAAAATCAACACTATGCCCCGTCAACTGAGTCCACAGAACATCCAATTGCAAACACATCATCTTCCCTCCCAATCAAGACATAAATCAGCAAATAAGAATCCCTTTGGCTACCTGACGGCTGCTCCATTCGCTGTAAAGCCAGTGTGAAAATATAACTCAAACCATTAACCTACTGGTGTGTATACCATTGACCTTTAAGTAACATTTACCAGCCAGCAGCGGCTTGGCTCGCCTCTCCCTGCGAGATGCTGCCGTGACGGACAGGTGAACGGCATTTGTGCCGGCCGCCAAATCTGCAGCAGACGAGTACATACTGTAGGTTACCTTGTCTCTCAGGTGGATTCCATGTTTAGAGAGTTCAGGACCTGCCTCAGACCTTGATTAATGACTATCGCGTCCATTTCTGAAAAACGCTTGGCTGTTTGTTTTGGAGGCGATGGGAGACAGCTCACGTAGCCGGCCTAATATGGTTCCCACGATGCAGTGTGGATGAGTTCTGGAGACACTCAGCTCCTGCTTGAGTCCAATACCTACAGTCATATGAAAAGCAGCGTGTCTACATTAATCATGAGTGTCCAGGCTGTTCACGAGAAATTATCTGATCCCACTCCAGGGATTTTTCTGGGGAGAAAAATGGGGTCTCTGCATCCTGAGATTTGATCTATTTTTGATTATTGATTGATAAACTTTTAACCTAATGAAATGCTTGTTAAGCTGTTTGTTATATTAGTTGAAACGTCTCTGGGGGGGTCATATTGATTTTAGATGAGTGCAGAGTCACAGGCCAGTGTGACTCACTCTTCATTACACTGTTATTCGCTTCCTCCGCTGTCTTCATTGTGATTTGTGTTTGTGGACTGTAAACAGAGAGTAAATACATGTCTGAAAAAGAAAAATATGTTTGCCATATTTTCAATAGGGTGTTTTTCAGTACAAATGTTTACTTGCAAAACTACTCCCTCAGACATTGTTGACTTTCACTCAGCATTTATAAAGTATTTCTCTACATGAGCATCACTGAACAATTCCAACAGTTTCTATATGTGAAACATACACCAGCCTCAGCCTGTGCGCTTTGGTCAACATAACACTCTTTTAAAATCCAAGGACTTAATTCCTGTGTACAACGTTTTTATTTGTATTTATCAAAAGTATTGTCCTATTGTGTCAAATGATTAGAAAACTGAGTGGCAAGGGAGCAGAGAAGCTCCTTTTCTGCAAGTACAATGAGAGAAAACCTAAATACACAGTGTTATATACAGTGTTTATACATAATGTATATAATAACGCATATTTGAAGACAGCACTTTCCTCATCATTTATCATGTTTTGATGTATAGAATATAAATCCCGAGCCAGCAGAGCCTGAATGAATATTTTCTCAGAGTAATTAAAATAAGTACACACAGAAATATTCTGCATAGAGAACAGTGATGTGCTGAATTTAACAAGCACAGTAATAAGAACACTATTCAAGAAAACACAATTAACCATTTACACACAAATGCAAGCACAATCTAGATATTTGTAGTCTGATTTGCTTTTACTCTAATGAATAATATACAGCATGAAACGGCCTTTTCATAATCAGGTAAATCAGACATCTACTTCTCCATCCTGTCCATTCCAAAAAATGATGAGGACCATTAGTATACATGTAATTATGGCTAACCACAATATTATCCCGGTGATAGAATTTATATGAGCTGTGCTGACAATAAATGCCAAAATACTTAACAGCATCTCTCCCAACAATAGAGGGAATTTGCACTCTACTGAATGCAACTAAAGTTAAATGTTAAGTTTCACTTATTATCAAGTGAACAAACTTCATTACTGGAATAAATCAAACCACAGTTGCCTTAAAACAAGCATATTTTTGTGAGGGAAAAAGGAGAAAATGTCCAGCAGTAATATGTTAATCAGCAATGAGAGACCTTTTAGCTGGTATGGTTGGCAACATGCATGATGGGTAATTAACTGTTTGCAAACATAGAGGATGTGCACTGTGCGCTGCTGCTACCTTCCCTGCTTAAGATGAAACAATGAGGGTGTTCACAGAAAAGTAGGTGATTTCTCAAAGTAGTTTGGTGCTCTGTGTGAGGGATTTTTAAAATCAGTTTCTTTGAGTACTTGTGTAGAATTTACCACACATTCCTACTGTAGGAGCCAAAACAGGGCAAAAGCTGTTTAATCAAAATTACAAAGCAGTTAGTGAAGGTTGGACAAACATAATTTTACGACAAATTAATATTTAATAAAATATGGAATAAAAGCTTCCCCATATAGACCATGTATAAACCCTGTAGTCCAGACTACATATATGTTAATTTAATTATACAGATTCAATTTTTATTTTTTTTTCACTTTTAAACCACAAGATCTACAAACATAAACATACGTGTGTGCGGTGGGATTAAAAGGATTTAAGAGATTCTTGATATTAAACACTCACCCCTCTTTGAAAAGAGCTCCATTCAGTCTGCTTATTCAAACAGTGCTTGCTGACTATGGATCGATTTAATCATTCAACATTAAAAGACATCATGTCCCTAGAATCATCTGAAACTGAAAAGATTATTACAGCACATTCAGAAAAAACATACAGAAAAAAAAATGGAAATATCTGGCTACCTGTAGGGGTGGTACGATCTTAAAAATGTAAAAAAACAAAAACAAACAGGCTTTATACAAGCAAAATCAATTGGTAAATCATGTATACCTATCGTATATATTGTTATATATATTTCAAATGTTTGTTTGTCTTCATTATGATTTTCTGTCTATGTCCAAGATAAATAGCATGAAAGCAAACATACATATGGATACAAGAGTAAAAATATGTTAAGCACTTACAATTAGTTTCAAAGCTCAGTACAAGAATCCCAGTAGTCAGCAACACAATGAGGCGTAAGGTGTGAAAGTGTAATGTTTTATTTCAAGTGTTTTGCATTTTATAGCTTAAAATTGTATAGGACACAGAGACATATGTATAATTAAATCTGCCACAGTTTGAATGATGAACAATTCAAACTTGCCCAGGTCAGAATCAGTGTATGGCTTCATCATCAGAGCTGATGAAGAAAGCTGATCAGACGCTGGTGATGCCTCTGACTTCCTCCACACTCAAGAGACGTGCAAGTGCATGGGTGAGACAATCCACATTGTGCATGTGGAGCAGAAGTGAGCGTGCAAAAACCCATAACAATATAAACAACAGCAACAGAAAGCCGCGCTTGCTCCTACTCCATCATTCAGAGCAGCGCCGGCAATGCAGCCTATCATCATCTTATTAAAGGGTCCTGTAGATTAGAATCACCAGGGCGGCATCAGAGGCAGGTGTCCCCCACGGCAGGCATGATAACACGCTGCCAGCCCCCAGTAAACTCTCAGGTACCTGCTGTGGCAATCCGGGGAGAGGCCAGCTTGGAGCTCCTCTGCTTTGGTCTGGTCTGTGTGGGCTCAGTTTTGGAGGGCCCCAAGCGGCGGGGAGCCTCTTCTTCCACCGGCTGCCTAAACACAGACACACTGGATGAGAACCAGAGACGGCGATCCCTTTTACCTTCCTCTCTGCTCCCTAACACTGCTGGCTGGGCTGCAGCCAGCTAACACAAACACTGCTTTCACCTCATCCAGATAAAGCACATCAGTGATCATTGAGCGGAATAGTCTGCTTTCATGGTGTTGCCTGGTCTAGGTGCGTTGGTAGGCAGATTCACAACACTTTGGTGCTACACTGTGTACATAATTCCTCATCACAGCTGTTTGACAACACTGCTGAGAGCAGATACAGAGGAATTACTGTCATAATATTGGTTTTTATGCATCTAACAGCATGATGACATGAAACAATATTTTTTTAATCAGCAATTCTGTGTCTTCTTTTGATCTTATAGTGATTTATTTTGCTTGAAAGGAGCCAACCATGTTGCAACAGAGTGTAAGTGTCACCTGGATGTATGTTTCAGCTCACTTGCAGTTGCATCTGAAATTCATTGTTGATTTTTGTGATTGCTCCATCAAATATCGGCTATAACAGAAACTGCATTTCCTGAGCTGATGAGATAAGGTTACTGAATCACCGGTGCTGAGCTCATCACCGACATACACACACACACAAGCACACACATACACAATCCCCTTGTTTAGCTGAAGAAAGCTTTTTTTTCCATCCCCCATTGGCTTTTATATACATTTCAGCTGGGCAGCTACATTATTATTATTTTTATTTTTTTTGGGGGGGTATTTTTATTTTGCCTTTATCCCTAATTAAGCTGTTTTAACTCTGATTAAATTGTTCAATATTTTACATTTTAGCATTTTTCTCTTTGTTGTTACATTTGTATTGTTAATTAATAGGAACACAGTAAATAAAAAATGTCTAACTGACTTTATAGAAAAGCCGGCGTGCTTGTTAAAATGTAGGTAACAAAAACAAAACATGGTTTTCTAGACAAACACTGTAAAATATATCTTATAATTTCATAATTTCACATGGTCTAATTCTATTTCCTTAAACTCTATCACCTACAATACACACTTGTCTTTTTCCAGGCTGCATTTCTATAAGAATAACACACAGCAGTGGATCATCTAAAATCTGCATCAGTTATTTGTGTCCAGTCTGGCTGCTGTGGGAAGAAGAGAAGAATAAAAACAGCCTGTGCTGCCAGTGTGGAATTCAGGTTAGTCCCAGAGGACATCACACCTGTCAAGAAAAGCAGGATGCAATAACACCCTCCATCCCAAAAAATAGATCTGAGGAAACATTATCTAATATAATGAAAAATAGATCTAAAAGCAACTGACAAAGCAGATAAAATTGGAAAACAAGCTTGGAGTAATAGCTTTTATACTGCTTTGATAGGTCTCTTGTATTTAGTAAGCAAAAAATAAATAAATAATAAAAAAAAAAGGAGGGTGGGGGGGGGGACAGATTTAAAAAAGTAGGTTATATAGAGCCTGAATGTGATTTTTTAAAAACAAAACAAAAGTTGAATTTTAAAGCTGTTAATGTTAACTTAATGTGGCCCCCTCAGTGTGACAGACTGGCTCGGGGATGGTGGAGTCAAACTGGTTGCAAACAGCCTGAGGAAGTACCTCCTTTTCATTTTTTTCCCCTCTTCCTTTCTCCACCGGGAGACCGCCCATATGTGCGTTTAATCCACATTTGCTAGCAACTCCTATCTTCCTCCTATTTTACCATCACTGTCCTGCTCCCAAACTGCCTTTTTCCTTCCCTCACATGCTTTTTCACTGCAGTCGTCCGACGGCTTCCTCCAGCCTCTCTCTCTCTCCTTTCTCTCTCTCTCTCTCTCTCCCCCTCCTCTCTCTCTTTCTCTCTCTCTCTCTCTCTCTTTTTCCTCCTATTTATGAAAACGTCACTTCAAGTCCCTCCCTGTTTGAATCTCATTAGTTTCTTGTGTGTTTCTCCCTGTCAATAATCCTGAATCCAGACTCTCTCTATTTCCATCCCTCTCTATCTGTCAATCAGCGCCGCCTTTGAACTGAAAACCACTCCGACCAACTTCAACTCACTCAATCCGAGCGGCTCGGCTCCTTCTCCGGCTTCCTTTTTCTGCCAAGATTCCCTTCTTTTTTAGTTTTGTACAGACCGCCAGAGCTTTTGGAAAACGCCAATACAGAACCCCCCAAAAAACTTAAACTCGGACTTTCTAGATCACCGAGATCAAGGGTTTAAAACTTCGTGTTTTTGCCCCCCCTGCACGAAAAAAAAAAAAAAAAAAAAAAATTGCTCGGGAAAAATGCCGCAGCTCAACGGCGGTGGAGGGGACGATCTGGGTGCAAACGATGAAATGATTTCCTTCAAAGACGAAGGAGAGCAGGAAGAGAAAATTTCGGAGAACTCCTCGGCAGAAAGGGATTTAGCCGATGTCAAATCTTCTCTTGTAAACGAGTCGGAAACGAATCAAAACAGCTCGTCGGATTCAGAGGTAAGTTGCAGACTTTAAAAAAGGAAAAAAAGAGAATCGGGGGGGATCGATCGTCCCCGGAGCTGGTTTTTAAGTTTTTCCTTTTTCTTTTAGGGGGGCCTGCGATTATGTGACATGTTTAAACACTTGGTAGACTTGAACAGAAAGTTTAACTATCCACCCACCATCGTGTTAACTTTAACGCAATCCCTGTGTTTTCATTGCATTTCAAGGCGGAAAGACGGCCTCCGCCTAGATCTGAAACTTTCAGAGACAAAACAAGAGAAAGTTTAGAGGAGGGTGAGTTTCTCGTTTATTCTTCCACTCTTCTTTTATTTTTTATTTTTTTTTGTGTGTGTGTGTGTTGTGCACCATGACATTACATGTGCCTGACGGAGGGGGGGTCTCCTCCGCTTTATTACTCTAATGCATTTATTTTTGTGGAGAGAAAGAAAGGGGGGAAAATAAGAGTTTTCCAAGGCCACTTTATAAAAAAAGTTTTCTTCTTTTTTCCCCCCCCGCCATGTTAGCTGCGAAAAGGCAAGATGGAGGGCTGTTCAAGAGCCCACCGTACCCGGGCTATCCATTTATAATGATCCCCGATCTCACAAGCCCCTACCTTCCCAATGGATCACTTTCTCCAACAGCACGCACAGTAAGTTCATTTATTTACAACTGTATGTGCAGACACACACACACTGCTCACACACACACACACACACACACACACACTGCCGAGCATACAACGGAGGCAGTGAGTGTTGTCACCCAGAAAGTGCAGCCGATAAAAATGTAGAGCCAAGTTTTTGCAACTCCTCATGAAGTGTACAGTACAATGGCATGCATGTCCGCCTGCAGCTGCCAGTGTGTGTGTGTGTGTGTGTGTGTGTGTGTGTGTGTGTGTGTGTTATGGACAGCAGCTAGCATGCTAACAGGGCTAAGCGCTAGGATTGCAATGAAAATATGGACACTGTGGTTCTGTGACAGGTCATGTGCAGATTACTTTTTTTTTTTTTTTTTTTTAACTTGTTGAATTTTTTTTTTTGCAGCCTTTAAATTAAATGCACGACATAAAAAAAAAATTAAAATCTATAATTTTTGTGTGTTATAATTGCGTTATTATTGTGCAGGCTCTGCTGTATTCCACGCTACAAGTGCATGGTTTTTAACCCACTGAATAATGCAATTGGCTTGTGTTTGCACAGCCTCATCAAACATGCCCTTTTTTCTCACTCGAGCTGCATGAGCATTCAGACCTTTACACTGACTTTCTGACACACTGCACGCACTGTAAAGCAATGTAAAAAGAAACTACACAAATAAAAAATCAATATGCAAATGAGATTCTCAGGCTGATTTGCATGTGTCAAAACGTGTAAAGACATAAAGAGGAAAGGTGCATGAAATAGAAATATTGTTTTTTTCTATCGCAACTATATATTTTTTCATATTGACATATATATTTTTAAAATGTGTGATTTATTGAATGGAAATGATGAAGTGCAACACTATGCTGGTGATCTGCATGTGCACCAGCTTTGCTTCTATTCCTTAAAAAAAAAGAGAGAAAAAAAAAAGCATGGGCCATGTAAACCCATATTTATAAATAAATTCATGTTATTTAGACACAATCAGCCGTGCTATAATTATGCACACTTACTCATTTGCTCAGCACCTCGCTAGTCCCACTGGGCAATAGCAATCCTTAAGCGGAATAATTTTCCTCAACCATTGGGTGTTTTTTTGCCCCCCTATTTTAAACGGTTGCAATTACAAGTCTGCACTTTAGGACCTGTCATCTCATTTTACAAGGTTAAGGCAAAGACCAGGCATTAGGAAATATGACCCCACCACCCCAACACCCCCCACCACCACCACCTACCACCTCAGCTCTGGCTAACGAAACTGATATTTGTTACCTCAATTTTGTTTTTTTGTGCGCTTGTGCACACCTTGAAAATAAATGCACATCTGACACGTAATGCCTTCCTTTGTGTTTGACACAATTTGTGCTTCTGAGTTCAACATGATCACCCAGAGTTTCACATGAAATAATTTCTGCTGCTGCTGCTTACGCAATTCTCTCTGTTTGTGTTTTATGGTTTTATAAGATTTTATCATTCCCGGCATATGCACATATGAGAACATTTTGCCATTCTTTCCCTCTTAGTCAGCCAGTCTTGTTAACGCTACTGGCTGGTATGTGGAATTAGTCACTCATTATTCTCATCAGTACTGCCACAAACACACGTTCACAACAACACACATAATTTGAACTGAGGCACTTCCTTGTTTCAGTGGCAGAGGTTTGTAGTTGTCTTTGTGGCTATCACAGTACTGTGTCCTGTACTAGTCCATGGAGCGCTCATTTCATTGTGCTTATGCAGCAGTTAGAAAAGCAGTAAATTGTGTAGCATGGCTGGAGGATGCTGCGGCGAGACAGTGGTGACCTTTGCTCTCTTAATTCCACTCCTGAAATACTATTTTCAGACTTAATTCAAATTTTCTTTCTTTCTTTTTTTATTTTCTTACATGTTCTTTGATTTGATTTTTTTTAAATTTCCTCTCCAGCGCCAATTTCTTGTACACAAGATAAAGTCATTACAAAAACTGAAAAGTCACTACTGATTATTGAGGAGGTGCTTTATATTGCAAATTAGGAGACAGCGTTTATTACAGCTTAATTCGCTACCTGAACAGTGACTGTAGATGAACATGGTTTTTTCGGCTTGCGGTGATCTTCCTACTGTACAGCCTCGGCCCCCACTGTCTGCAGCGCCCTGTGTGTCCAGCCATTAGAGCTTTGAAGTCAGCGGTCGCTGTAATATAAATGTATTAGACTTAAAGCTGGCATAAATAATTCACCTGGACATTGATTAGCTGTCTTGCTCCCTAACATGTCATGTGAGGCACTGAATATGACTGCTAGTATTATTGGAATGAGACTTTCTCTGTCTTGTCACAAAAGGCTTTGATTCTCGCTGCTTTTCCCTTCATTTTTCCTCGTCTGCTCCTCTCGGTTCGGGTGATGCTGTGGTATTATTTTTAGGATGTGGATTTCAGCATCTAGGCCTTTCAATCTGTATTTTTTATGTTTTAATATAAATGATTTTAAATTGAGATTTCTTATTTCTGTATGGTCAAATATTGAGGCATCTCTCAGAGAAAAAGTGTTTAATTTATATGTTTTTTTCTGTCAGTTGGCACTAATCCTGATCTATGTGGATATTTCAGTGATTTTTGTTATTACATGACTTGAGGGGGAGAAAAAAAAATTCCTGCATGTGGCGGTTACCATAATTTGTCTGACCTCTGGGAGCCATAATCAGTGAGAATTTGTTTTTCCTACCACCTAAGTCCAAGGAGGCTCACAATTTAGTATCATTTAGCAATCTGACATGACGTTGTGCCCGGGCTTTAAAAGCCTTCTTGTCCTCCTCTCCTCCTCTGCTCTCCCTGCCGTCTCCCTCCTCCCTAAACCTCACACAAAGGCCTGCTGGATCATTGGGTGCAGGTCGAATTGGAGAAGTGGCCTGCCCAGTTCACCCCGGTTTTCTATCTCCTTTCACTTTTCTCCCTGTTCCCTTTGCTCTCTCTGTCTACCTTTTGTTTCCTGCCGATGCTAACACAGGTCTTGTGAAAAAAGGCGGCGGGTTAACTCCGGTGCTGTGGGCTAACATCACACCTCAACAGGTCTGGAGACGCAGAGGCTCAGGGATCTGGGCGGCCAGCTCTCCTGCATCGGGGCTGCAGGGCCGTAAATCCACTGGCTTTATTTACTGCCTCTCGGACTTATGAATGTTAAGATATTTGACGCCACCCCTGGCCCCATAATTCTCCAAGCCTGGAGACTTTTGGCGGAGGTTTTGAGTTTCGATGTATAATTACGAGTAGTTTAAAAAAGAACAAGAAAGTGGTTGGGGGGGGGAGGGGGGAGCAGGGGGGATGAAAACGCAACACCAAGCATCCACCGCTGTGTTTAGAGTGAAAAAAGACGCTCCCAGAACCCGTGGCGATTCTACTACAAGACGGTGGAAAGGCTTTGTGTGGTTGAAACAATAGCTTTTCTCCCCTTTTCCCTCTTTGTTTCAGTTGTGTTGTCGTGCCAGGATCGCTCGTGTTGCCGCAGATTTACCTTTCTGAAAAAATAAATCCACTTTCATAGAGGCTGACTACTTCCTTTATCGTTTTTTATTTTAGGAAGAAAATAATGGAGGATTTTCTGGTCAGATTATTGTAATGAACATGCACAAGTGAATGCAACACCACCGCCTTTGTGCTCTCGTGCACACATTGCTGTGGCCTTATCTGTTATAATTGACACAGACAGACAGTATCTTTCCTTAACATGGCAGCAGCATAAGCATAACAATGGTATATCATATGGATTATGTGTGTTCGGCTGCTGTAAATGGATTTTTGGCTGTGACAAGAGGAAAGATAGTTTAATGCGGATTTAAAGGATAGGGCCCACACCTTATCAAATTGGCTTTACATGTTAATAGGGCCTAATTGGTGTCCGCGGGGGGTTTCGTGGCACGACGCGGCCACATTTTGTGCCTCTAGCCGCAAAATGCACTCTGAATTTAGTTGGAAGGTTGCGCTCCTTTTGTCTTGCAAATCACTTTTGTTTACAAAGTATGGCGGAAGCGGCTCCCGCTCTCTCTCTCTCTCCCTCCCACTACTCCTTTATGTGCTCCCTCTCTCTCTTCCTCTCTCTCTGCCGTTTCTCTCATCCTATGCGAGGAGAGGGAAAAGAAAAGGTCCTTATTTTTCTTCGACTCAATAAACAGTCATAAAAAGCACAATCTGCTTTGGATTTGAGGAGTTAAGTTAGAGAAAGGGGGGGCTGGGAAGCAAAGTTTGGCACCATTAAACTAAAATTGGGGTCTGCTAGACATTAGCGGTGCACAGCACATTCTCGGAGCTTAATTAGTCCAAACTGTAATTGTTCATGGTCTGCCAATAGGAGTAATGCTCAGGAAAAGTGGAGTTGCACTAAATCGGCCCAGGGTTTTTAAAACAATAAATCACTCGCATATTTGTGCCGTGATTCAGATGGAGGCTCGACCTCTCCCATCTCGACATGTGGTAAATTGTAAAGTCAATGAATCGCAGATGTAGGGGTGGGGGGTGGTGGTTGTGTGTGTGTGTGTGTGTATGTGTGTGTGTGTGTGTTGGGGGGGGGACTCAGAAAGAGAGGGAGAGGGAGTACAGTAAGGTTTTGTTAGTGCCTGGTGAATGAATGGAAAAGATTTGTGCAGTAAATATTTACTGAGGAGATATATATATATTTCTTTCTCTCAGCTAGCGGGGCTTAATTATCTAATGCTGATGATGTTGGCAGGCAGAGCCGTGTGAGAGCTTACGCGCTCGTCGATCTGTCACTCTGCTTGAAACACCACAGAGGCAAAAAAAAAGGAAAAAAAAATCAGTTTGTGAGTGTGTTTCTAATCAGATTTTTAACTAGTGCAAAGGGAGTAGTGGTTCCCTGGTGGCAATGTGAGCTGGGTTTGGGTGTAGCTAACATTTAGCTGCAGTCAAGTCTGGTTTGGGGCTGAACCTTTTTTTAATTAAATCATTGACTTCATTGTTTTTAATGTAATAACAGCTAATCTGATGCCTAATTTTGACTTCAATGTAACAGATTATGCCTGTTACTCATTAAGTCACAGCACAGCCTGGATGTTGTTTTCTGTCTTTTTTTTAGGTAAAACAAATTATTTTCAGAATGGATAAATCCATTTTCACCTCCTGTATCCTTCCCTGTTTCTGTCAGTGAGCCACCACACTCTGCTTTTCTGTGCCTGAGCAAAGAAAAAAAAAAAGGGGGCATTAGTTTAGCAGCTGTGCACTGGTGCCCCCCACAACCCCCAGTGTACACCCCCCCTCCTCTCCCAGCAGCCCCCCCCCCTCTTCCATGCTCCTTCTTTCTCCCATGCATTTCTATAGAGCTCAACACAAAGATAGCACTGTACATCTGGAATGCAACTTTTGTCATCTGTTAAATATAGGCTAGCTCTGCTCCTGGCCCACAGGGCTTGGGGCTCCCTGAAACATGGAAATTAAATTATTCTGTGTGTGTGCGTGCATGTAGCCAACAGTTAAATTTGTATCCGCATACAGAGCATGTTGCTTTATTTTTATTTACCATTTTACTTGGTAGGAAGCGCATTTTTCACTCCCTAGAACTGTTGGCAAGTTCACTTTTAATTTTAAAAGCAGTGCAGAGATATGCTCAGAACTCTGTATTATTTGGTTTTTGACTCTTTTCTTATTCTATTTCTCATTCAAAAGAAAAAGTCTACATTTTGAAATACGTTAACATGAATATACACCAAACTTCCTGACAGTGCTTTTCAAAACACTCTTGCTCTTTTTTCATTTTGAATTCCTGAAGGACAGTGCATAGCTGATCCATTCATCCCCGTTAAGTGGCCCCCAGTACAAATGCACGTGTTGACAGTGTTGGTTGGTAGAATGTGAAGCTTCCTCTCACTTTCCAGCCAATAGAGTGAACTTGCGTGGAGACTTATTGAAAATGGTGATGAGATAATTTGAAGTGGTTGCTGGACATTTTAGATTTTATTGGCAGTGTTACTGCGCTGCATCCAGCTGAAAAGATAAGGTTAAAATGACTATTGATTGCATCTTTTAGATATGAAGGTTAGGGTTAGCTATTTTGAAGAGAGTGATTACCTAGAATTGGTATTTTTCGCAAAGTGTCGTAATTACAAAACCACTGAAAAATTTCATTTTCTAGCGAGTTCAGTTTGAGTGCTGAAGAATTTTGTCCAGAGCTGTAAACTTGCATGTAACCATATTTTAACCACAGTGCATTTTTGATTGAGAAAAAAGAAGAGAAGAAATCCACAAAATGTTGTGTGCAGAATTGTTTAGAGCTCAGGTATCGCTCCAGAAATACTTCTGGTATGTGCATTTCTTTTTTATTTATTCTTCAGCGTCTTTTCCTTGCCTGAATGTGCATATTTCTCTAAGTTCATTCATAATGGGACCAGAGTGCTCCAGTAGCCAAATGAGTTCACCAGTAGCGGAGTGGGAGGGAAAACACGGGGCGGGAGGGGGCAGAGAAAAGCGGGAAATGTGTGTTAGGACTGCGTGTGTGTGTGTGTGAGTGGAGGGGGACGGAGGGGCGACGGCAGGGGGGGAGCTGGGGGTCGGACGCACAAAAGCCGCCTGAATAGAGCGCATAATTGCTGTTAATGCCAGGGCAATGAGAGCAGCGACAGTTCCTGGTTAGATGTCCAAACAATAGTGCCCCTAGGCTTCACATTTATCTTCCTGTTAAAAAAAAACAACCAAAAAGAAAATATAAAAATCCAGCAGGGACTGAGCGGAGAGGAACACAGATTGGAGCAGGCAAGTTTCAGTTTTCAGCCACGCTTGTCGAGCAGGCATGTGTTCACGTGTGAGGTTTCTGCCTCTGAATCAGCCCCCGTACCCCCCCGTACCCCCCCTCCCCCCTCCACGTTGCTCTCCATGCTTCCCACCCTCATCGTCATCAAAAAATTAGCCTTAAAAGCTCTGGGTGAGAGGGCCGCTGTGACGCTGGAGGAATTCTGGTGGTGCCAGCCTTCTGTTTGGATTGTGGAGTGTGTATGGGAAGGGTCAAAGTGCACCGGCGCTGACATGCTTTTCGTTGAGAAAGGAGCTTCCCCTCTCACCCCTTTTTTACAACAACTGATATGGAGTGCTTCAGTCTCCACTGGAGTTCCCCCCCCCCCAACTTGTGTGTGCGCGTGTGTGTGCATGCAGGGAGGAGGTGCCACACTGCCATCACAGCTCTTAATGATCATGTCGGGCTAGATAATGACTAGCCGTGCCAGTGTGCAGTGAACACCTGTGGTACACCAGCCTTTTATGGATGTGGTAGAATGCTCTGGAACGTACCACAGAAGAAGAATCTCATTCATGCTAATATCTTTTTTTTTTTTTTTGTTTTTGCTCTTGTACATGAATAATCAGAGAGTAGTGTTAGAAAATACTGGCATCTCCCTCATCACCGAATTAAAGTTTCTACAAAAAATGGAGAGATCTTATGTTACCTCAGCTCCTATATTCTGCAATATTTTACTTCTTATTACATGATATTAAATAAATAAAATCTAACTCTGTGTGCGGTATCTGTCATGTTTTTGTACCTAGTTTGTATCTCCAGTTGTAATATAGTCACGGGAATTTCTGTATGCAGATAATCTATTCAAAATGACTCTGATGGGAAGGAGGCACGTTGTGTGTGCTAAACACATAATGGAGGAGTTTAAGGTGATAAAACTCCAGTCAATGTA